TCCCGCAGCGGTGAGGAGTGTGGCGATCGACTGGGGCAGAGGGGACAGCGGCTGGACGCTGACCGAGGAGACGCGCGAGTGCCCCCGCTGCCGGGCTCCCGGCGAGTGGGAGGAAGAGGTATGCGATCCGGCGGACGCGGAGGTGAAGGTGCTACTGGTGTGTCCGTGAGAAGTGACTCTTGGAGAGGAGTTAAAGTTGGGGGTTGAGGAGGTATTTGGACCGCCATTTAGAGAAACGTGGCTACGTTCGCGAGAATGTCCCATCAATTGTGAGTTTGCAAAGGCGATCCGTGTAGAAAGAGACGATCTGTTTGGGTTAAACCTCCTTGTCCCTCGCGACTGGCTTCGAGATGAAGGCGTGGGGGATATTGAAGTGGACACAGACGCCTCGCTCTGACCCGTCCTGATCGGTTCCTGTGATAAACCCTTCGATGGGGAAACGGATAAGGATTGAGCTAAAGCTGGAGAGCCCCCACCCGTGTGACCTCGAGCAGGGCCCCGGGAGCGTCTGGTAACAGCTGGGGACAGCGCAGATACCTGCTGATTCCCCTCAATCCTACTCACGTTTACCCGTGGGAAGTCCCTGGACTGGGAAGCGAAGCGTAGAGACGGAGCAGGGTCTCTCATCCCCTCCCTGCCGCGTTCCCGTCCCGGGCGTCTGGAGCGGAAAGCCCTGCTCTGTCCCCGTGGGGGACCCCTGAAGCGGGACGTCAGGGGGGTGCGCGGCTCTTGATCCTGCTGGCTGTGCTGGAGGGTCGGATCGGGAAGGGACGACGCCGATGGGGACGCTCGCGTCGGCGGCAGCCCATAAAGACCACTGGGCTCGCTCGGCACGTGAATCGAGAACACATCCGCATCCGCGCCGAGTCCGACGGCCACCAGGGCGGCGACACAGGCGAGGGCTGCGACCGAGTTCATGATGCCACCACGCCCTCCACGACCCCCGCGCGCGCGGCTGACCGGACTGGACTGACACTGGCGACTGCGCCGGTCGTTATGTCCGCCTCCTTTTTATAACCCCCGCTCCCCATCCCCCCTCGCCCGGCGCCGTGACGTCATCGGAGCCGGTGCCCCCCTGTGACGAAAGTGGCGTTGCCGGACGCGGTGTGCAGTGATATACTGACACGTCGTGGGAACGGTACGAGCATGGGGTGCTGAGACGCTAGGGGCTGCTGTTTTGGGCAGCCTGTGATGGGCGCAGGCCAAGGCAGGGACCGTATGCCCGTGTGGGGTCGGATCATGGGGTGATGTGTTCATTTTGGCCTCAGGTCAAGGCAGGAGGCTTATGCCCGTGTGGGGTCGGAGCACGAGGTGATGTGTTTATTCGACAGCTCTAGGTCTAAGCAGGAGGCTTGTCCCCGTGTGGGGTCGGATCGCGGAGTGGTGCGCTCATTCCAGCGCCTCAGGTTAAGGCAGGAGGCACCCGGAACAGGAGTGCACTGGGCATGGCTCATCTGTTTAACTGAGCGTGCCTTTGACGAGACTCCACGAGCAACTTGTCTTCAGTCGCTTAAAAATGCATGAAAAACGTAAATTATGCACCATTATCTATGTGGTCTTCATTTGTTCCCGCGTGATATTGGTCAACTTTGCCGATATTCTGTGACGGGAACATTAATGAGATAAGCAGCCAACACTAGAACACAAATATGGACGGCAGAATATGTCTACCTAAGTTTCGAAAGGAACTCTGTCTAGAAAAGTGAAATATAATTCAAACCTTCAACGCACTCCCACGTTACGATGAGGCATGGCGCATGAAAAGCATTCAAAGCCCCGGAGCCCATTTCAAGCAGCTTATGAAGAAGATACCACGCTTAGTATGCTCCACCGCCTTGCTTGCTATCCCATTCATTGCCCACGGTGTTTTGCGCCCATCTCTGAAGCGTAAACAACCTACGGCACGCCCAAGATTCGCCGCTGGGTGTGCACCATGACATCTAAGACCGTTCTGCACAAAGAGCAGGTGTTCTCTGCAACTCACGCGTTGAATCAATAGACCAATACAGTTGCTTGCGCCGACTCATGCATCCATGCAGATCCAAACAGCCTTATGTCTTGGCAATGTACACAGTCATGGCGTGGTGATTGTTGTGATGACCGAACGGTTCTGGGCTAATCTCTATTTGCTGCAAAGGCTGAGGTCTTTCCCGGAAAGATCAGCCGCTACTAGAATATGGTAGGAAAATAAATAAATTTGTTCCAGAAGCAAAGTGGCGAGATTATTTGTCTCGTTGCGTCATGAATAGACCAGAGCGAGAAATTCTACTTAAAACTTTACCGTCTGCACTAAAACACAAGCAGCGGCCGTCTCGAATGTAAGCAGAAACTGACCCTTACCGTCTAACTGCGACGCCAAGCTAATAGTTCCCGGAATTAACACAACTCGCATGCAGGCATTGAGTAACCAGGCGAAACACCTGCCAGGCCAGAAAACCGGACTTTGTCCTGAGAAACACCCAGCCAGGTCAAGCTTGGCCGGTCGGGAAGATTACCGGAAGCCTCGTGCGTACCCGCTACTACACCCGTGATGAGCGCATAGACCTGCGCTACGCCACATTGGGCCCGGGAGGCCGTTCCAAAACGTCGGCAGCTGCTCTTTGGATGTGTTCGTGACTCACTGCGGCTGCTGGCCAATGCACGGCGTCGTCTCTGCCAAATGATGCGTTATGGGCAGCTACTTTTTTGCAGCGAATTGCGACAAAAGTCTTTCGTGGTGTGCAAGACGCCGCTGGAGCAGCATTTAGGCGAAGCGAGTTGCTGGAGCATTCGGAATAGGTGACTGGATCAACTCGGCCATCACCGAGCCATATGCCGAACTGATGAAACAGGCATTGAGAGCTACACGTCCGTAAATTTGATACGGCCCCGGGGTACCTGGGGCCGTATCACCGAGCATGACTGCTCAAGAAGTCAACTGTTGCAGGCATGCACCTCCTCTTCAGATCTGGCAACAGGGAGCAGATCTGACATTGGTAGCTCTGCACTACACAGAGTAGTCCAAACCACAGCCGGAAATTCGTACGCTCCTACTGGCGGTTGCCGCCCTGACGTTCGCCATCTCCACACGGCAGCATCACGTCCGAGCCCGTACCAGGAGCCGTAACAAGGGATCCGTGGAGGCCCCGGGGCGGAGAGCAGCGTTGGATGGCGCGTCAGGGTCACCGACGGTGTCCCGCACCGCCCGGCTGATACGGAGGCATTTCCTTGCGCGGCGGCCAGGCCCCTTCCGTTGACAGGGAGCGGTGCATGACCGACGAACGGCGACTATGCGAAGGTCTGGGCGAGGGTATCGGCTGACTCACCGGGCCGCACCCAGAAGACGCTGATCGGATATACACAGATATCCACGAGGTCCATTTGGTAACAAATGCTGGCCTGATGTGCCTGGTGAAGCTTGGACGACGCGGCCGCCACGTTTGGGGGATGAAATTTCAATATGTAATACTAACTAGTGGCTCAGACCAGGGGTGGACCGATGCGGCTTTCACCGCCGCCCCCCCCCCCCCCCCCTCTCCCGGCAAGAATGAGCGCTGGTTTTCACCACGACCCTTTTCAATAAAATTCCGGAATTTAGCGATCATGACGGCTAATTTGGTTCCGAGCTTATAGACACCAGCATGGGCACCTGCATGTAGAGTCCAACAGCCATAGGATTGTGACAAGACTAAGCGATAGTCGAGTGAATACGCATGGTGTGCAGCGGCAACAATTGCTTAAGACTCCAAGACAAACCAACATCGCGAGCTCATTATGACGCTAGGTTTTGTACCTTTAAGGTTTTTTAGGGGGAGGGGAGGGATCTCCTAGTCTGTTCGCAGTGCGCAGGTGTATTGCCAGTGGTTACATTCCCCCCCCCCCCCCGTCGCCACCCTTCGCACTGCTAGCTACGCCCCAGGTACTAAGTATTGAAATAGCAGTCCTCACTATCATGCTGACTTCGAAGACCTTGCTAAGCTTGTCTTCAAACTCGCATGATGCAGGATTCATGAATGGAATAATTGTCACAAAAGCCGCATGGTGTATTTTGTTTAGTCGCCATAGGAAGCTTAGCCCGACACCGTGTGACAAAAAATGCAACTCAAAATCTTAACGCAAAGCGCTGGCTCCGAAAACGCCCTTCGAATCATACATTGGATTTGTGCCGATGAACGAATGAATCAGTCAATGAATAGATGAGAAACGGTTTCACGGGATTTTTATTGAAACCTTTCGGCAAGCGTGAAAAACTGGTATGAAGTTCGTAATTCAAAGGAATTATACGCTTTGATTTACGCTGGAAAATAAAGTTGTGTTAAATCATTGCATTTTAGAATGGTTATGTACCACAATCCCACACCTTTTCGTTTTCCCGTTCACTTGAGGAAAATGCACGTTCTTCGTTAGACCTAGCTACATCCACCAATTTTGCATCATCACACGCCGGCTGCACTGCTCGCATCGTCCGGGTGGTGGCGTCCGATTGAGGTCACGTGATCACCACCTGAGTCACGTGACCGTGACCTGACCCTCCGCTGGGCTATGATCTGATCTGACCTGACCCGACCTGAGGCCGCACTCCTCGGGAATCACTGCTCTGCTAATTGCAAGACCCAGCTCACAAGCAGATACAAGCTCACAAAAGCCATTCGGGGGCGCGGACCAGACATCCTCCCAAAACATGGCTTTGGTTCTGGCTGTAGTGAATTTGGCCGAGCGTTTGTTCATTTTAACCAGCATGGAGGGAGCCACATAAACCCCCTGCTTGCTGCCATGGACTCGTGCAGTTTGAAACCCGCTTGGTTCAAGGGATATGTGGTGGGAACGTACAATAATGAGGCGTAAAATTCGGAGCGCATTCAGCGGATTGAAGGAGAATATGTTTAATCATTCTAACGCTACGCAGTGTTACATTGGTGAAAAAAATCACTTTAGCAAACCTACCATTTGAGCAGGCGATTGCATGCAATTAAGGAATGATATTTGTATGTTTGCGTGCCACACCCATCATAATGACTTACCTGTATTGACTGATCCCTCAGCGACGTAATCTGAAAACGAAGCATGCTTTAGTGATTCGTGTGACAAAATATGTGAAGCAACTAGTTGTGGCTAAGACGTGAGGATATCAGGCATATCGTAGTATGTCATCCACTTAGGCATTGATTGCCGTATATATGACTGCTGCAATGGCGAGGCCTGCACAAGTAAGCATTATGTGCAAATCACTGAAACAGGCAAAACGGGCGATAAACATAACATTTCAAAGCATGTGCCATGACTAACTGTTCAATTTATTTGCATCGTATCAATAACTTATTGTGCACACTTGTCGATTATTTTGCTCACTCTGAATGCAAATTGCACCATCTTCCTCTTCGTAACAATCCTCTCCCGGGGCGCAGATCTTGGTGGCGCAGGACTCCCGTTCTGCGAAAGATGACTTCAGTTATGGTAGGCATGCAGTCCGCCTTATATCGCATATATATATAGATATATACATATATATATATGCATATAATTTGGGAAATAATACGGGCATACCCGAGCGATAACTCCTCCGAGCATTACAATGCTCGTGTCAGCCCGAGCTAGGTCGAACAGGCGCACGCGATGGAAAAAAGGGATGGTTCAGAAACTATCCAAGGGCCGAAAGGGAAGAGTGTTTTTCTTTGGTCGGGAACTGTACTAAGTGCAATTAGCGTCGGCAACGTCCACAGCATCTGCACTCACATTACATCAACGAGGGTAAATGTCGTGGAAGGTCCCACCCATTGCATGAACATTTGTTTCATTCACCCTCTCATGCTCATCCGTCGCTTCATCCAATATCCTCAAGCAGCTCATCATTACCGGAGCATAGCGCGGTCATGAGCCAAGAGCCAGTCCACCGACCACCGTGGATGGGAGTCCCCAACCCCTCCCACCCCTTCCCCTGCACCTGCACAATCTCTGACGGAGGGTCCAGGCGCGCTGTAGAGATTGGTAGCAGTGTTGACCCCGAACGGTTGCAAGAGCGTCCACTCTGGACATCATATGTTATGTCACGTAATATTATATTCTATTCAGCAATAGTGTCCTTTCCTGAATCCCAGAACTCTGCACAAGCATTTTCAGGACACAAGAACCCCAGCGCCAGGGAGTCTAACCAGAGCGGACCATCGCCAGCTCATCGCTTGAGTTGTGAGGCACTGCGATGCGATGCGATGGGGAAGCGATGGCGGGTTCAATGCTCACTGTCGTAAGTATTTTAGGGGTCCGCTACAACAAGCGAGAGCGACTAAAATGATTAAGGGTGTTGCAGTTGCCTGTGTCGTGATTTGCCTACGCGACTGGCGGAGGTGTGGGCGGCTGTGGATTTGGTCGCGTGCCAGTCGTCCGCCATCTAGTGGTCATCAGTAGAAGCTATAGTTTTGTCCATGCCGTGCCTGAACTCGTGGTTTCAGTACCCAGCAGTATTGGTTGTGCCAGCGTTTTCAGTACTACAGTGCGGATTCATACCCAGTTTGCAGGGAAAAACAGCAGTCTCCCTATCGCACGGTTGTTCGGTAGCTCTTTGCTCAGCTTTGAATAAGGATACCAAATGCCAAGAGTTTGCATGCTTGATAAAAGGATTTGCTTGGTATACAACACTCGATTAGTGTCCATTATCCCTAAATATATGTCTTAGAAAGCAAAATTATGCCGTTGCCAAAAGGTCATCTATGCATGCATGCGTCAGCAATGGACATCCGTGTCATGGTATGATTATCTGCAACGGTGCCGTAAAGGCGGACTTGAACCCGTTGACCTTTACATCCCGAGGCCGTTTTGTCCCAAGATCACACGTAAACAATAAGTCAAGGATTTATGAGTTCATCCTGGGCCTTTCGCCACATTTTAAGCAACCAACGTGACAGCTGTGGCTTGATAAACGGTCAATCATCTCAAACTGTTTCCCATTGCTCGTTAATCCTTATCCAGGTTGCTTTAGGTATGGAGCATGTCTGGAGATTCCGTGTGCTCGGGGATCCAGACCCCCCCCCCCCCCTCCTCCGCGGTCCCGGAAACTCTAGAATTTGGGGTTGCAGACTGTCCAAAGTTGAGGATCTGGTAGATCCAGAGACCTCATGGGAGGGCTGCTTTTTGGATAGCACAAGGCGAAAAAAAAATGTCGGCATTAAACGTCGAGCTTCAAAAAAGAGTTGCTCTGCCAATGCAGAAGCTTATTTGGCGCACTAGCTTCAGAAGGCTCCTCAAGAGGTCTCACCTGGCCGTTTTGGGCCCCTCTGGCCGCTGAGCGTGCCATTCTGGAGGCCCTCGCACCATTCCTGTCCATCAGGGGCACCCTGGCCGCATAAGGAACCTCCCAGTTACCTAGGGCCTCCTGTCCCTTCACTGACGCTTTTTGGACACTCGGAGGACCCAGAAACTACTCAGGGGCTCTCTGACCACTCAGGGTTCGCAATTACTGCTCGGACCACCCAGATGCTCAGAGACCCCTTGCCTTCTCAAGGGTCGCTCGAGCTGCTCGAAGCCATTCTGGGCACTGAGGGGGCCTTTGAGGAGCCCCTGCCTCGTGTTGTTCCCTCTGACTGATCAGGGGCTTCATTAGCCGCCCAGGATTCATCCGGTCACCAATGAACGCCTCTGATTGTTCGGGGGTCCTTCTGGTCATCTGAGAGCTGGTCTAGCTGTTGTGGACCCACTGGCCATTCAGCGGTCCGCTTCGTCACCAGACTTATTTAGTCTCACTCTCACTGCCCTTACACATTAATACATACATACATAAATTACACATATCGCATAACATAACATCACACATAAATAACACACATCTTGACATTCAAGAAAGTCAATGTAACTTGTTTTGATGTGGGGGTTTAGAGCACTCCTGGATGAACAAATATGCGAAAACCGATGAGCTTTTTGCAATAATTCAGAGCAACTTCTCGAAACCTCTGAACCTTTACTAGCGGACCAAACCCAAACATTATCAGCATGGGATAAAATAGCTGCTGATTTAATTGATGCACGTGGTCATCGTCCTTGTTCATCGAGGCTCCTCTCCCACTCACCTCGTACACAGCGGGCTCCGCTGGTAAACTGGTCGTGGCAGATGTAGCCGACTGGACAGTGCTTGTGCTCGCATGAGGCGGCATCTGAAAGGGAAGCAGGGGAGTTGGTTAGAGCGGGGTGCAGTACGAACATGTACAGCTGCCAGCTGACGTGACGAGGCTGTCCGGTGAAAGGGAAAGACTGCCTTTGTTGGCTTATGCACACAAGAGGGTCGCACGATAACCCGCTACCTCGTATATTACACACCCAGACCTTCCGTCGCTTTTGAAATGAAGATATGTCCATTGCGCATTAAGCAGGGCATGTTGTAAAATGCCGAAATGCCCACTAATTTAAATAATAGGTAGATGGTGATTGAGGACTTAACTGAGGTGTTCCGGTAATATGTATAGCTGTTCAGTATTGCGCAATCCGGTATTTAGTTCTCCAGCTATTGTTCCCATCGATTGGTGTACGCTCCGAATTGTAACTACTAAGTAATGATCTCCAATTTAGGATACAGCCTATGTTTAGAACTCTTTTTTTATCTGCCTTGAATATCATTTCCATTTGCATGTATTGTGTTGGTTTTAATTAAGAATGGTGGCCGTCGCTGCTGGTAGCGGCATCAATGTCTTGCATCCATGTATCCGTCTGGCATCTTCTTTACATCCATGATTTTGGTCCCGTACTCCTTAGACCAGCTCAGAACTCGTTCACTCCCAGGCGTCGCTTGTTCCGCCGTCTTTCGTCCTTTGTCAGTGGATGTCCCTTGAATCCGCCGGCATCAGTCTGAGAAACTACAGCATTCCAGTACGGATCTACCGCAGTATCATTTGCCACTGATTGGTGATTCTTCGAAGACCATGTAATGATCCACACGCCTGTCAAATTCATCCCTTCACCGTCGTCATCGCAGCCTGCCGCGAAGGCCACACATTGCCACCGAGCACGGGCGACCATTAGCATAAGCTGGCCAGATACCATCAGGGCCCTGAGGACTGTTCGGTGACTTGCAGGGGGCGGATGGCGACTTCCTGGCCCCCGCCGACGAACGCCAACAGCGTCAGCGTCGTGTGACGACGACAGGACAGAACTGTCGGGATTACTCCCCGTCAGATCCGCACCGGGAGCACGGCTAGCACGGCCAGGATCTCGTCGTAATTTGCAGAACAGAAAGACGAGGCCTTATATAGCATGACACGTTTGAAATGTGCACGCCGTCAGCGAGGTGATATACGCCCTGGGTTTTCAGCACGCTATCATCCGCTGTCATTTTTTACGGTTGCATTTACCTTTGTCTTGCCATTTGCCAATGTCCAATGAGTGCCAACCATTATAGCTTTGAAACCTCTGTTATGCTTCGCCCAAAACCCCGCTTACATGGACAGATAGCTAACACACCCTCCGTAAACGCCATCCCCACATAAAGTTTTGCGTGCATGTTCATCTCGGCCTCCAACAGCTTCCAGCGCGATGACT